AAGCAAAGTTGCAAGGGCTTGTCTTCATTATGTTGCATTTTGACTTTTACGTATAGTTATTAAGAGATCATTTAATAATACAGTAGCATTATAAAAATAAATTTCGAGAGACAGTCCCAAAAAATTACAGTTTTGCAGAATTGATCCCGATAAAAGACATTTAAAACTATTAATTGTGTCCTGAAGAGGGTGTATAACTTAATGCTCACAAAACTTAAGACTTTTCTAACACTTGCAGTTTTGAATGATACATATAATCTATTTAATCACACAATAATTTGTATTTTTGAACATCAGAATCTCGATTTAAGCTAAAATGTATTTCTGAGAGCAGCATTAATTTAAAGTTTACTATGACAGTTATACAAAATAATCCATCTGTCGTATGTTTAAATGTAGTCTTTTGAATCCAGAATAAAACAGAACATATTGAAACATTTTCAAACTTACCCAATTAAACTTTAATATTGAATCGTTTTCTTGACTTAAAATACCATTTTTGTTAATGAGATTTTAAGAAATTGTCGTTAAATATAGTTTTACTTCATAGAAATTGTAGTGAAAAAAATATTGTGAAACGTTTCGTATCGTCAAGAAAAATATCGAAGGTTACTCGTTAGATTAAAAACTTATCGGCAAAAGAAACTCTACTCATACAGGCTTACAATAAATGTCAGTTAACTGCAAATGTACTAGAATTTAACAGAGCTTTTATGTAAAACAATATTTTTCATTTCCATAATTATGTCGTTTTTTTAATGTGACTAATCAGTAATTGATGGGATATTTTGCCTCAAATATTTATTTGTTGTTTTCGTTCTAAATTCTGAAGAATTTTTCAATTTCATTTCAATAATAATAATAATAATAATAATAATAATAATAATAATAATAATAATAATAATAATAATAATAATAATAATAATCATCATCATCATCGTCATCATTATCATCATCATCATCATCATCATCAAACAATGCACAGTATAAATCAAACCAGTTCAAATAGGTCACATCGTAATTAACTTCACTAATTTTTGAGCAAAGACCAAATAAGTAGGTACCGAAATAAACCTATAAATAAATACAAGATTGATGCAAAGATAATTTATGAATAAACAGATTAAATTAATTAAATAAAAAAAATAATTTAGGCTGATGAATATCAAACAAAAGGTGTAAACTATTTATTATGTCAAAACTTTTACTTCACTAAAAATATGTTCACAAGATAGCTACAGTAATTTAGCTGTGCAAATAAATAATTAAATAACTACTGTCCTTTCATCATGACCTCATTTAGGTATCTTTCAACATTATCAATACAAACGATACAGTTTACAATAAACAAATCTCTCCAACGAAATTAAAATGGCACGGAAAATCCAGATCATAGAACGTTGCAAAATTTGTGATACTTTCTGTACTTGCTTTTTTCATGTTTTAATTTTAATTTGTATTATCATCAACACCAGAAAAACAAGAAAACTTAAAGCACTTATATTGCAAACGTGCAAAAAAGTCAATCATTTAAAAATATTTTCCCAACGTATTGTTTTCTAATAAGTGAATTGATTTTTTTCTTCTTCAATTTTCAGTATAAAGATGCATTCAATTGAAATAATCAAGGCATATTACGTTTATAGTTGATGTTTGCATATCAAAGAGGTAAAATGAAACCATCACCTTTTTCAACTGCGAGGCTTTCCGACAACTTCGAAATTTCGATCTATTTTGTTTCCGATGACTTCAACATTTCGTTTTGCTTTGTTTGTTAGGGTATATTTACAGATGCTTCGTTAATTTGTTGTTTACGCTGTATAGTTAAAAATGAAGGATATTTTTTTTTAAATTTAAGAGACAATTGGATTACTGCTAAATTTTCGTTCAGGATTACTTTTTCAGAAATATGCGCAATGACATTTAATGATCGTAATTTGACATTTAAAATGTTACTACTTTATTTATATGCATTATGGTGTAACTGCTATCAAATGCAAACCTTTAAAATGTATTCAGTTTAGTAAATGAATACTGAAGTGTTTGTGAAGTTGCCTGCTGAAGTTAATTATGCTGTTGTTGTTGATCTTTTAATTCAATTTTGTTTGGTCGTGCACATAAAATCAGTTCCGGTAATCAAGACCGTATGACAGATGGATATAAATATGAGAACTTTCCAATGGAAAGATCTGTTGGAATGGAATTTCACGAAAAATCCTGTTACATAGTACCAATACGTTATATTTTGATATAATTTTTACAAATTATTGATTCTATTTATTTGATTAGATGAAAGCTTCTAAAATGTTAAGAATTCTTCAAACAAGAAGGCTATTTAGTTTTCGCATTTCTTTACTTATGACTTAAATACCATTAGTTATTTTAGTGGTAATGACAGTTGTTTAGGAACTATTATTTTTTCCATAGAGTTTAAATAAATATGACATTTCTGAGACAGAAAAGATTTTTCATTCTGCAGATTAACTAATCTTTTGCGTAAAAAATGATTTCAAACGTTTTAATTTCAGAAAACTAAATTTAATTTTAGAGAGACATAACAAAGCAAATCAACATCATCTCAAAAGAAAAAGAACGTTTTCATAAAACTAAATTTGATCTATGCTAACAATTAGTGAATTTCAAATTGTAAAAGTATCGCAGAGGCTTCTTAATATCCATGTCAAACTTAATCATGGAATAAGCTAAGATTATTTAAGGCAGAATGTCCACCCCAAATATCTAAAAATACCTTTCATTGATTATTAGTTCATTAGTACAAATGTGAGAGTGCTATTGTATCATTTTTATGAAATGTATTCCTCTTCAAAGTATGGAAACTATCCGTTTATTTTTAAATTTGATTACAGAACTATGCCAACTACAATACATGTACGTAAGCGAACGATAATATAGCCAGGGTTTCATTATCATATCACTGATCTAATATGACCTCGTATGTGCAATAGAAATGAGGCTTGTGTATAAAGATAAAGAATATTTTCATAGTGAACAATGAGACCCGCGAATAAACCAATGAATATAAGCATAGTGGAAAATTGAGACCCGTGTATAAAACACTGAATATTAGCATAGTGGGAAAATGAGACCCGTGTTTAAAACACTGAATATTAACAGTGGGAAAATGAGAACTATGTATAACACACTGAATAATAGCATAGTGGGAAAATGAGACCCGTGTATAAAACACTGAATATTAGCAGTGGGAAAATGAGACCCGTGTATAAAACACTGAATATTAGCAGTGGGAAAATGAGACCAGTGTATAAAACACTGAATACTAGCATAGTGGGAAAATGAGACCCGTGTAAAAAACGTAGGGTATTATCATAATATGCAAAATAACACGTAGTTAAAGTAATAAATATTATCGTGTGCCATACGATCCGTGTGTTCAACAATGAATCTTAACCTTGTAGGTAATGTGATTGTGACCCGTGTATAAAGCAATAAATATTATCATATCAAAGAGACCCGTGCGCAAAGTAAAGAATATCCTAGTAGGCAATGAGAGAGAGAGAGAGAGAGAGAGAGAGAGAGAGAGAGAGAGAGAGAGAGAGAGAGAGAGAGAGAGAGAGAGAGAGAGAGAGAGAGAGAGAGAGAGAGAGAGAGAGAGAGAAAGAGAGAGAGATTTGGATTTAGCTTTTTTATAAAAAAAAAAATTAGTCATATCTCTCCGTTGTCTGCAGTGTAACAGTTTATAGTGATGTCTAGCACGGGGGCATCAGGCATTTGACATGCAGCATGATGTTCCACCCAGTCACATTATAGTGACACCATTTGAGGCAGCTGTTAGTACCATTTGTAGGTGTTTGGTATTGCTCGGCCGGGACTTTATGTAAAACAAATTGCACGATATTCTTACTAAAAGTGTCATGGTCCTCAACATTGTATTTTGAGTTTTAGTTTTAATTTTAATTTCTTTCCCGAGTTTCCATGAAGATTCATATGACTATTCATTTTTCTTGAATCCTTGACACTGATTTTTATTATTGCTTCGAAGTACATTCCATTCTTATTATCGTTTTGAATTGCTCGTATCAATCTAAGTCGATCTTTAAAGATATATATTATCGATTCCTTATGGCATAAACCACCAAACATTTATACATTAACTAAATTATATTGCACTGTGTTAGATACAACGTCACATGAGTATGTTGATTTGTGGTTTCAAATATTTAATACATTTTGTAAATTTGAGGCATTTTTCTTCATAACCTCATTTGGTAAAGTTGAGAAAAGAATGTTGTGCAGAACTATGCCTTTTGTGAATATCGAACCTTTACTATTATGAAAAGTTTAAGCGTACATTTTATCTTGAGACAAAGCAATAATTGCTACTGAAATCCTAAACGTAATAGTTCCATAAATGCTTTATTTGATAAAATATACACTTTTCTTAATGAGTGAAGTACCATAAATGGAATGGTTTTAAGCAGAAACCTTGCTTAGCACCAGCCACGAAAGCCAATCTCTTCTAAGGCTGTGCTGTAAAGAAGTAAGTGCGAAACAAATTAGTAATAACTACGCCATCACTATTCGCAAATCAAAAGAAAACATAAGTTTAAACTAAAGAAAAATTTAACTGCAGATGTGATAGCTGTGTGCACTTACACAATTTCATTTTGTGGTAAAATCTTAGAACGGACCGGGATCTTACCAATGGTTAAGTGCAGAGTGTGGCGCCTAGAAAGAAAAACACTTTGCATCAGTGAGTGGAAGACTATACAGTCAAGCGTTGGCTAAAATGTGTGTGTTAGACTTTTAAAGTAGCTTTAACAATGTTTCTGTCATATCACTACGATGTCTGCAGTGTGACAGTTATATAGTGATGTCTAGCACTGGGGCATCATGCCACAGACATGTGAAATGATGTCCTACCCAGTTACTGACACCAAGCCAACCAGTCCTAACATTAACCTCTTAAAGCTGAGCGCCAAGCGAGGCAGCTGTGAATACCATTTTAAAAGTCTTTGGTATGACTCGGCTGAGGTTTGAACCCACGACCACCAGCATCCGAGGCAGACGCTCTAAACACTAAGCCACCGGAGCGGTAGGCTAAAATTATATATATTACAAATAAATTTAAAAATGTTACTTAGCTGATATAAGAATAGTCGTGGAAATATTGCATTCATCCAAAGTTAGAAAAGGCACTAGATTATTCTTTTGTTTGGTTGCCTCTGATATAACTTATAAGAAGTAAAATATTCCTTTTAAGATTTAACTGGCAGCTGAAAATAAAATAATCCAAGTCTCATTATATTATCGTTTTGTTATAATTTACAATCGTACAGCTGACAGTGTCGTTCAAAATATGCCTACCTGTATGCACATGTATCATGATTCAATCAGATTATCCTTCTCCGAGAATAAAAAGTTTTTAGTTATTACGTATTCAAAATGACACACTTTGTCAGCTCCATTTTGTTAAAGCAATCCCAGTCACTAAATTACAAACGAAAGGAAGTCTTTTTCTCCTCAAATCTTTTTATTCAGCTCATACACATCTCATTTAGAGGTATAGCTTGATAATTTTGATGTGGTCAACCTTATGTGAAGAACAGTAACACCTTTGTCGCTATGTTCATGAGTATTTTTGAACAATCCAAGAGAATTTTTTTTGTAGAAAAAACCTAATTAATCTGCATTATTGCCTATTTAACCTAGTTTTCTGCAATGCAATATTTAACAGAAACATATGAAACATATGCCTAGAACTTTATTCCCTGCCTGATTAAACACGAGAAACATTCTATCGTGGATGATTGTTTAATGGTGGTCTGGAAAATCAGAGTTTTATAGGGTTCTCTGGCCTGTTATAATCATTTACAATGCCATAAAGAAGTCATAGACTATTATATTCATCAACTGATGGAAATACCAGCATGCGTTGAGGTTCAATGAACACCCAGACTTTCCGTCGTGTTTCCTTCGAATGTCACTTAGCTTCCAATTCCTTCTGTATTCTATAAATGCAATAAATTATGGTGTCATAAAATGTCATAAGTCTCTACATTAAAAGCTAACTTTCGGTATTTATTATGCCTATATTAATGGTCAACAAAATTGGATACAATTTAAGACAAATAAGAAAATGTATGGGACTCGTAGAGTCGCTAGGCACCACAATAAATAACTTTAGAAGTATTGTAATATAACGTTCAATGTCTTTGAATGACAAATATACTGTTATTTTGAGTTGTTGGGATTGGCACTTACTTCCAGTCTTAATGGAATCAGATCCTACTTGAAGATCTGACAGTGTACGATTAGCGGTCATGATGTGTTGACCTATGTTTACCATAATCGATAATTTTATCAGCCAATCAGATGAAGTCCTACATCTTCACGTTTGGGAGCCTGAGAATCAGAGAAATATCTTGGAATGTTAAAGACACACACACACACACACACACACACACACACATATATATATATATATATATATATATATATATATATATATATATATATATATATATATATATATATATATATATATATATATATACAGCAACTTAAGAACACATTGTTAAACAATTGTAACAGTATAATCATGTAAAGAATTGGCTCCGAATCCAAGCACCTTTCAGAACGTTAAAAGAAAAATGACTCGTAGATGTGCTGTGAAAGGTGCATGGATTCGGACAAAAATTGTTTGATAGCTGTACATCAAGTATTGAGTTGCCGATCCACAAAAGAAGACGTCTGCCATCGTCCAAAGTTTTTGATTGATTACGAAAAGTTTTTTGTTCTCGAGATTACAATAGCTATTGTAACATCAGCGTATAAAATTTGTGAGCTGTAATCGTTCTGCAAAGGTTATTTGCCGCGTACCTTACTTATGCAAGACAAGAAATAGTAGGTTTTTGTTGTTGTTTTGGAACACTCAAAGAATTCACGAACGACACATTAACCCATAGCACTTTCGCCAAAACTAAGGAATGGTCAAATGCAAAGGTCTTCCACTCATGGATATTGAACTTGACGTGTTACCTCTTCGTTGCAACTGATGTCATATTCAAGTCACCCATGTGCTGAAACCAAAAACAATATGCCGTCGTCATAACAAAAGAGCGTTGGAGTGGAATTGTTCCACGATCTCGAACTCGAAAATCTGTTGTTACAAGTTTTCGAAATCAGGCACTTCCCTACCAAAATACAATAACAACATAAGAGATTAAATCCAGGCACTGTGTCTAGATACATAAAAGAGTTGCTCACAATTGCAAACCAAAACTAGCAATTATCCTACGTGGTGTCACACAGTAGAAGAGAAACAATTAAACGATATTATAGAACTATGTAACAGGTCGAGTTCAACGTAAGAAGACATGCATTTGCCAAAGTCGCGTAAAATTATTTGCTGGCTAAAGTATCTAAGCACAAAATTATGTCCAAGATAAATACTTCACAGATCAGACCTGAAACTTTCATTTCTTAAAGAATAAAGCAAATTTCAGGAAACACCACATTGATGTCGGGCGAGAAATGTGATTATAGTGAAGTATGATCCAGTTTGTCCAACCCAATGTCTTAGCCAACTTGACTGTTGCTACTTACGTGGTTGTAGACGGTTACGGAACATCTTAGTTACGGCCTGCTTTACTCTGAAACATTCACTTACGTGTATAATATGACCTGGTTGCCGATACCCATACATGAAAGAGGAATGTTAAGAGCCTCCACCAAGGAACATCCCGAAGAAAACCATTCTCAGTTTTACAAGTGGCGAACCCATGTGTGACAGATTGGCGACGTGCAAAACATACCAACCTCTTTCACTACGGTTCGTTGCTAGGGAATGACCTCCGCGGTGTAGTTTATCCAGTGTGGAGAGATAGAAAGAAAAATGCAGATCACTGAACGAGTATATTGAAGAAATAACAAAACGAGCCCCCTTTCAATGAACAAATATAAAATTTAATCAGTTTGTCAACAGAATTTAAAATGAAAAGAAATCAATGACTTAGTTACAAAAGAAGGAAAAATGGTACTAACATGTACTCAAATAAAAAAGACAATACAAATTTCTTTAAATGTAAAATTACTTTCAACGTTAAATTGCTATCCTCATTGCCAATGAGATGTGACCTTTGAGTGCAACGATGAGAAACTTAATCACCTAATTTATGCAGACATCAAGACTTCCGTTCGTCCCTGCTCTGTCGATCTTTGTCTAGCTTTTTCGTCTTGGACTCTTGTCCGTCGAACTCTGACTAAACAATCGTCTCTGGACTTAGATTTCTGCGTAGAATTTGTTATCATCCTGTGATTATTCAGGGATTTCTCACGTGAATCCAGGAAAGCTGTTTCCTTCAATAAATAAAAATGTCTCGCAATAGACAATAGGTCACATTCCCAAGTATATCTATATTTTACATTAATTCGGCTCAGAAAACAAAAGGCATAAATTCTGCCAAAGTAACTTCTGTTAGCTAACTGTTATGTTTACATAAACGGTTGATGCTTGTCCTGACCTTAATTCGGGTCACGCTAGAGATGGTCAATTAAATTCAACTCAGCCGTATGAACCCGTATGTAACCCCCACTCGACTGCTGACTCTACTAATCTAGCAGTCTTAAGTTGCATATGCTTAGACCCTCAGATCTAACTATTCTAAAATAGCTTACTTGACCAATTAGATATAACAAACCAGCATATAGATATACACTTAAGTGATCAATTAAATATTATAAACTAGTATATGAATATACATGCAATGTTAGGTCATACTCATTTTAGACAGAGTTAATCCATAAAACTATGAAATATTACCCATCATTCCTTAAACTTAATTCATTTAAATTCCTAATCACTCCTATCTATTTAAGATTCAATTACATGCAATCTTTTCAACTAATCTAATGAAATTTTAATTACATTAAATCTTGCCAATTCTCCAAATGATTTGATAATTAGGAAATCAAAGAATAAAATGTCATGATTAGCATTTCACTAAAATTCTGAAAAATCAAATAATACATACATACATCATATCAAGAATACATTTGCAAAATAGATCAACAAATGAAATAACATTAAAATCGGGAAACTAAGATTGCGTACCTTTTGCCGTTTCTTTATGTTTCCACGAACCTCACGTATAGTCCGTCTCCTAACTGAGAGAACTATCCGGCCCCTTACTCAATAACGAAAACGTACTTTCTACGAATTTCGGAGTCATACTAACTTTCCTTGCGAAAGATCGAAGACGACTAAAGAATTTCCCTAAAGTAAAACCTTTAATTTCTTACAGAGTTACGCCCATAAATCCATATTAACCAATCGAAATAAACAGTTTCCTAAACCTGTTCGTAGAATGTTTGGATTGACAAGAAAACTAAACAACTAATCATGCCGTAATTAATCATTTACTTTGAGCTATCATCTATAGCCAGATGCCGCCTTTACCCTGCCGATTTTGGGGAAAGGTCTTATGTCATTCTCTTGTACCATAACATCTGACTGTCATGTTACGTCGGCTAGAACGAATTCCCTTTTGACGTTCAGAGATGAAATGAAAATAATCATCTATCTCTAGCCTTTTCTACTTTAATTAAGTTGACTTTGATAAAATTCCTTTAAAAAAAGCTTCTAAGAGTTTTCAAAATTCGACACATCACACCATGAGGTGCATATACCAGTACTAAGATTAAAAAGACAACTTGAAGCTAAATGCAGAGTGAAAGAACTCACTTTCGGCTTGTGTTCAAGTCAAGTAAATATTAATTTATTTTAGAATCATTTGTGTATGTTTTCCAATAACACAAAAGAGACAAGACTAGCAAATTCCTTTAACATTAATGAAAAATCGTATATAAGGACTTTGACACCAATAATCCGATTTAAAATCATTTAGGAATTGTATAGATACAAACTAAAAAGTTCTCTGCGTTTTTATATCTTAAATAATTTAAGAAATATTTAAAATTTAGATTAGCATTAACTTACTTCAAATCATCCCATAATTTTCTTTATATGACAAATATTAATAGGTAAAAGTGATATCAATAATTACATGGATGCAATTATTTCACCAGTATTT